AATGCTGGTAATTGTAATATTTATGCATTTAATCAGCCGTAAAATTATCGACATCTAAAATGTTTAGACATTTGTTGTGGTTGATTGGCGGCAATAATTTGGTTATGCCACAATTCAAAATTTACAAATATGGAGCTAAGTACATACATTAACTCGTATGTTAGTATGTAGATATACATACATATAACTAAATACGTATGTATGTAAGTTATGCTACTATTTATGTATGTCTGTATTAGGGATGTACATTTTTTCGCTTTTTACAATCCCGGGATTTTCGGGATGGCGTTGTCGCAATCCCGGGATCCCGGGATTAGTCCCGGGATTTAGATATTCATTACTTTTCAATAACTTAAATCGAAAAAATTGCTTCTATATTCTATGGGTTTGAAAACTTTTATTTAAAGTGGCGTTTTTATTTTCTCTCTCTGACGTCTGGATTTCTTTTAAAGGACTTTGTTGTTTCAAAGATATGATTAATTCCAAAAATTATTGAAAATATTAAATGCAATGCAGAATAAAATTTTGGATACCAAATGAAAGAGGAAATTTCTTTAGAATTTAAAAAAATTAAATTTTTTTTGGTTTCACAAGGACGAATAGGTAATTTTTTAAGCTGATAAAATTAGAAGGACGAAATTCGAGGATGTTATCGAGTTTATATATGTATGTATGTAAGTCCTTAATATATAATTTTTTCAAAAACCAATATTGCCAAATTTCAATTTTATATTTTCAATACTTACCAGTCCTTATGCACCAAAAAATTTAATCTGTTTAAATTCTACAGAATTTCCTCTTTAGTTTGGTACCCACACTTCTCCTCTAAGCACATTTCACTGAATTTTTTAAATAATTATTGAATTAACGACGCCAGAGTGAAAAACTAAAAACGCAATTTTACTATATTTGGCCCTTGGTTCGGCGAACATATTGATTTTTGTGTGTAAAAATTACTATCGCACGCAAAAAATAAGTATAGCCAATACTGGTCAAAAAAAAATAGCATCTATTATTGCCATCAGTGCAAATTACAAATCCCTAAAAAAGGTCGGGATCCCGGGATTAACATTCCTAGTATGTATCTATGTAGCATAAGCACACAATTTTCGAACACCTAAGTTTTTTAACTATTTTCATTGTTAATTGTGAATAATCACACATACTTTTGTAGAAGGTCACGAGATCATTTGAATATTATTTCGTCGTAGTTGTTTCCTCCATGATTTACGTACGATTTTTTTTTATAAAATTTTTATACTGCTATGCCATAACGCGCATTTTTTTATGATCCCCACACATTCGAAGGTCAAAGTTAGAAGCGGATTTTTTTCCCCATATAAATATGTATATGTAGATACATTTAATTTAATTTTTCGTGTGTACTTTACGGATTTTCTGCGCATTCAATGCACTTCATTTGAACAGCAATCAGTATCATTAACTCATTGTGCGCTGCATTTAAAGGTTGGGCGCCTCTTATGAGCTTTTCATATATCAAAATGCATACATACACATGTACACTTATGCACTTATAAACTAATATGCGATTTGTGTAAAAAATCGTGGCCAATGAAATACAGAGCACGTCTTTGTTGCACGACACACATGTGGCAGGCACGTTATGAGCGCAAAATGCAAATGTTGTTGTTGTTGTTGTTGTTGTTGTTGTTGTTGTTGTAGTTCCCCATATGTCTGCTCGCTTTACAAATGTGTAACAATTTTTCATTATTTTCATTTTTCGCACGTTGATTTTATTAATGAGTGCAGAGATACGAGTACATACATACATACAT